AGAATATTTTACAATTAAGTATCTACCATTATTTAATATATTGAAAATATTTAATTTTATAGTTTAAGAAATGATTTATTACTATAACTCTTGCGTGCCTAATTTGAAGTGTGAGACTGAATCAAAACATTATTTGCTAATGGCAGTTCTATTAACCCTTAACATACTATAGTACATCTAGCTAACAAAGTGTTTGTTGGAAGTGTTAGCCTCATGCACAAGCCAACTCATGTGAAATGGAGGGATAGATATTCATGAGTATTGTGCTCATGCTTATTTTATGATTACTGCCATGCTTGTTTTGTGGCTTTCAGCTATACTTGATTAGTTACTTATTTTTGTGTATTATGTGTCTATGCTTGTTTATTATTTATCCTTGTGAATTATGTATTCACGCTTACTATCTATTCTGATAGAGTCCTACTAAAGGTAATTTGAAATAAATTTTAAAAAAAAAGAATTTTATTTGACTAGTTGATTTTCATGAATGAATTTCTTTGTAATGAGAATGTTGCATTTCTTAACTATTTAATACAAGCATGATAGTTTAGAAAGTGCATTTTGATCGTTATGTTGCCATCATATGAAGATATTTTAGATTAAATAATTAAATGAAAATATTTGGTTTTAGTAATACACTGCTGCTTTTCTAAATAATTATTTTAGTTAAATTTATACTTATTCTATTTATATTACTTTCTTTTATCACTTTTAAATTTTATTTTGAGATGTTATTCATTGAAAAATATTTTAACCTCAAATAATAACTGGACCTATATCATCTGTTGATCATTGGGAGCTTTATCATTGAATTGAAGTAGAAGAAATTTCTTTGGACAAATATCATCTTGATCTAAATGTGAGCTTAAGTATTATTTTATAATCTACTTCATGTGCTCTTATTTGATTATATATAGAATTATAGATAGAATTTTGACCTATTACATACGTTAATTGTTTATTGTTAAGGAGCAAAGCTTCTTATTGCTGAATTATTATAAATTTGTTGTTATAGAAAATTTGGGAAGGTTTTGTAGCATGGTAAGAATTTCTAATCTTATTATTATCAAAATTAAAGTATTAAATTAGGAGTTTTTTGAATTAAGGCTTATAGGATATGGGTTTTCTATACATATTTTATGTCAGTCACACCTTACTTTGGGGTGTGACATTTTTTACCAAACTATTTTGCAACCTAAACAATTGATTTTTTTGAGTGTCCTTTCCCTCCCATTTTTTTCCTTTATAAAAATATCTAGAATCCAAAATTTATGCAGTGTTTAAGGGTAATTATAATACGAACACTTTTATGGTGTTGTTTATTTTTAATTTTTAATTATATAATAAATTTATCCTTTTTTGTAATTATTAGTGCCATTTGAGCCCCGCACATCTAACTCATTGCATGAGATCCAATCTTACAATCCATCATCTAATCCAAATTTAAATATTACGAGACCCAAATAATAAGAGCTTTCCTTAACTTGTTTTCATCTATAAAGTTTAAATTCACTGCATAAAAATATTTAGATATACATAGACTACATGAGAGTCTGACCAACTTGGTCTGGCCCAAGCCATTCAAGCCACTAAGGATGGTCACTGAGATATATATTCACACATTTTGTTGAGAGAATTGATTATTTTGTAATATTTTTTTTATTCACATTTTATGAAACATAGCCTCGTCTCATTATTCAAATATAAAAGAAGTCTCATATTTAAAGATTAAAAAATAAATCACAAAATATACAAGTTTAAAAAGTATCTAACCAAATTACTTAACTTATTTGGTAGAGTGTGTTATCCTTAAGTATACTTAATATAAGAAATTCAATGGTATCATGAGCCAACCAATCAGGGACAAACAAATGAGAGAGGGAGAGGGGAGAGTAAGAAGGAAAAAAAATAAAAAAAAGAGAGAAGGAGAAGAAAAAAGAAAAAATTAAATATATTTAAGGTCTTTGAGACAAAAAAAGTACAAGCTCAAGAAAAAAGAAGAAGAAAATTAAAAAAAAAAGTAGCAGAGGAAATATTAAAACATAAAAAAAAATCTCACATCTAAATATTAAAAGATAAATCATAAATATATAAGCTTAAAAAATATTTAACTAAATGGCATAAGCTATTTTGATGAGGTATATTATCCTTAAGCATATTTAATGTAAGAAATTTAAAACTCACACCCTTAAATCCAACCCAAAATCTACATCATTTTTTGTGTGCCTGAATTTTGAAAGGGAAGACAGACTTTCATTTATTTTCCATGATCTACACTAATTTTTAATACATATAATACAAGTGATGGTCACTTGTGGACTAGAGTCCCAATGATACATTCCTTTCAACAATCACCTTATAATCAATGGGGGATTTGATTTTATCTGGACAGCATAATTCAAAAGGAAGACAAACGACCTACTGTGAAAATCAAATGCTATAACGTTCTTTCTGAGTACTATCACTTCCAAATGGCTTGAGCCATCTTCTATAGGCACGAAAGGATTGTGTAGATACTTAACTGTACTAATTAAGGTTGAGAAGATCACCTGGGACCAGACAGTTCATCTGGGGGGATATGTGAACCTGAGTCCACAATCGGCCAATTAGCATGAGGGAGAGGAGTTTGATTATCTCGCCTGTACATCTCATCTTTCTGCCATTGATCCCACTTTTCAGCCAAACCATCGCCTTCAAGCATCCTCACCACCTCAGACATCTTTGGCCGTTCCTTGGCCGAGCTTTGCGCGCAGAGCAAGGCCACTTGGATTAGTTGCTCCACCTCTTCTTCATCATATTTACCCTCCAAATCAGCATCCACTAGTGTTTCCAATCTCTTGGCTTTAGCCATCTCACCTGCATCCAGAGCATGTCAGGTTGCCAAATCATGGAAAGAGGAAAAGGGTATGTGTCCAGATTCTCTCTACTTAAGGTATCCTTCATTGGTTCTGCAGCTTCAACCCCATTAACATTTAAAGTAGCAATCTAACTCAACCAAACATATAAGATTGTACAAGACAATTATTCGTAAAGAACAGTGCTTTCTTCAATTATTAGGAAATCTTTGGAAATATTGAGAATGGCATTGTTATGCTGATTGCCCCGTATAAATGTTAGTGATATGGTTATGAGAAAAGGAAAAAAAGAAAACATACCCAATCAAGTAACATGACATCATCATCATTGGCGAGTCTTGCAAGATCGAAAGCCCTCTGTCCGGTTATTAGTTAAAGAAGCATCACAACATAATCAAAAACATCAGTCTTCTCTGAAGACTTTCCGGTGGAGAGGTATTCCGGTGCAATGTGCCCAACTGTACCACGCACAGCAGTGGTAACGTAAGTGTCTTTGTAATTCATTAGTTTTGCCAAGCCAAAGTCCCCAACAACTGCTTCATATTCTCCATCCAATAATATATTTGCAGCTTTAACATCACGGTGAATGGTCTTTGGATCACAATGGTCATGCAAATAAGCAAGGCCCCTAGCAGCTCCCGGTGAAATCCTCTTCCGAACAGGCCATTCAAGTGGGGGTCTTGTTTCCGGGCGGTCTAGGACATTAGAAGATAATAGAGGATAAACCCAATGTGCATAAACACATACTCAATATGAAACTACAAGTTCAAATATTAACAGTAAGATTTTATTTTTGTTTTTGTTTTTTTTGAGATACTGTGTTTGCATCTTAGTGCCAAATCACTACTAAGAATTGCATAATTCATATTTCATTAAAATAAATCAAGACAAACAATGAATGAGTTTGACATTAAAATTAACAAGAATATTATATTACTTGAAAGGGAAATACAAGGTTTCCTTTTATGGGAAACATATACGGGGTTCAATTATGAGTACAAGCAATGCTAACTTTTTATGAATAATATATGGAGCATGGTGGAACAACAATATTAGGTATTGCACATTTAAAAATTCTAAGATGAAAAATTTCTCACTCCTAACCAAAAGTCAATTAAAGTGGGAGAATTTATAATACTTTGTTGACTTAATGCATTTAAGTGTTGAAGTATGTAAGGTCAATTATCCCAACTCTAGAATGGGGATTTTGTTCTCATATTGATACTTATGGAGGCTTTCATAAATGATTTTTATATATAATTCCATTAAATATGCTTTAACTAAGCGTATAATCATTGAAAGCTTGAGGAACGATCACTAGCAACATATTGATTGGAAAATTGGAACTTTTGCCTTCTATGTAATTATTTGAACAAATTCAAAAGCTTCAAGCTGCAAATTGATGATAAACACTCAAGTCACCATTTTAAAGATGCACCTCTCATATTCATAAGTGCCTCAGCATGGGCCCATATATATGTGTATATGTATTTGATAAATTTCAAATTTACACGGATGCAATCTCAATCATAGCTAGTGATGTTCTGATATTTAATTCTTTCTTAGACCAAGCAGCACATAAAAATTCATGATCTATGTAATATGTTAGCCATTAATTTATAAAGAATCATCTACTTCTTTGATAAATGCCAATGCAAATCCTTCATAATATTCTGCATCATTATGAATTGGGATGATTTAACTGATTATGCCAATCAATACATGCATTTGGTTAAATAAATTTCAGGTTTATTGTAATATTATTCTCAATCATTGGTAACTTATGGTTACGGTATATATTTTTTTTTATCTATAACTTCAATATAATATTCATTTTAGTGAATATCTTTAAAATTTAGCAAATTCAAATGAAACATGTTATCAATATTAGAATTTGTTTTTCGAATAATAAACCATGATATAGCTCTTCTGGAGCCTTTATCAATTATATTATACATACAATGCCAATAATTTCTTTTGCACCTATTCAAATGAGAGAAATATTTTCCTTTTTGAATTATATCTATGGGATTTCACTATTATTTCACCCGTATAAATGAAAAATATATTTAAATTAGTTCTTCATGAACAAATTAATTGTGTAATTCTTCAAGAACCTACATATAACATATTCACATAAATCTCATGAACTTATCCGTCAATGCTATTACTGCAAGAGAACGTTTACTGCCTGAGGCAATGAGTAGTTAAGTTTTCCTTTCATTTATTAAAAATATCATATTGTTTATAAAATTAACTAAAATAAATAATTATAGCATATGCATCAATTACTTTAAAGACAATCATGACTAATGTTAAGAATCATAATGAATGAATCAGTGGTGGAGCCACATGTGGGCCCCTCAAATGAAAAAAATTATTTACATAAGAATGGGGCATAGGTATTTATATTTTATACTACCTCTTTTTTATATTTTACATTTTAAATCATTTCATATTATTTTTTAACTAAGATTCAAAATTAATTTTTTTAACTCAAAAGCCTAATAAATTTTAGCCTACAATTTCAATATACCCAAATAGTAATATTATTTTATAAAAAATTAACATTCATTAAACCTATAAGAAAATAAGAAAAAAATAATCTCTCCCGCATCGTTTGAAATCTCAAAACAAATTTGTGAAAAAATTAGTTGAAACTAAAAAACACATTATTTATCCATTAGTTTACTTGTTCTTAAAATTAACAATGGTGTTATCTATTGCCACAACAGTAGTTAAAAGACCCTTTTATATTATAAAGTTTGTAAAAATTCGGTTGTACAATCAAATGGGGAATCTATGGATGAATGATTATCTCGTGACTTATATTAAAAAATATATATTTAAAAACATTGACAATGAGCTAATTGTTTAACAATTTCAAAACATAAAACCATGTAGAAAAAATTTATAAGATATGCAATTATTAAATAATTTTTGTTATTTTTTTTAAATTATGAATATGTAAATAATTTCGCCCCTGATCCAAGATCCTGGCTCTGCCACTAAAATGAATTGCAATTGACAAATATGCAAACGAATACCATAATAAAGTTAATTGCTTCGACAAATATAGCAATTTAACATCTTGTAATCGTCTAGGCTTGTAGATATTTCTTGAATTTGCAATAATTATTTGCATTGTAACTTTTCGAAAGTTTTCCTTCACATGCCTTGTGCCATTTTGGTTCCATAACCAATTTTGTCATTTATATTCAATAAATTCATAGCCATTAGCTTGAATGACTAATTGCCATGTTATACCCAATTCTCATACATGGCAAAACATTGTTGCCTCTAATAGTCAATTCGAGCATTGGACATACATGATCATAGCACAAGGTATTCTGAGTATGGAGAATTTCCATTACTTCTCTACGTGACATAAATGTCCATAAGCCTTTAGTTTTCAAGACTACGACAAAATTACCTTTCACAGTTGCAAATCTCTTTTATGACATTCGGTGTTTAAACCTTTAAGATTATGGGATTTGTAACAACATATTGTAATATTTAATTACAAATTTTATTTCAATGATTAAGGAAAAACATCATTATTGTAATAACCTTGATAAATAAAATAAAAATAAATATATAATAATTTGTTTAGAGTGTCTTTTAATAATAGAAATGTGCATGTAACTCATTTATCAGTTCCGAGTTTGAATCCTATGATGGAAAGTGAGATTTTATTTTTGTTCCTCGGAAATTATCATTTTGCCCTTCCTTCTGATTACTTTGCTACTTATCTCCTTTCCCAATAAAACGCGTACGGAGCTGTGAATAGGGAGCCAAAAATTTCGTTCCTGTGGCTTTGAACTTCAGACCCAAAAATCCCAGTCCATCGTCTTCCTCACCACCGTCCTATCCTCATCGCCGGCGAAAGTGGAGACTCGTCGCTGCTGTGCAATGCCAGGCTCTCCTTCGTGCTTCCCATCTTTGTTTGTCTTTCTTGTTTGCTGCTCTATCCTCGGCGTTCACATTCGCATTGCTGATGGGTGGAGGAAATCAGGTTGCCGGAGCTAGTGGTAATGGTCGCGAGCTTAATCTGGTGCTGATTCTGTTCTCTTTCCTCTCTTTTGACTTTTGAGTAGTGCTCTGTTTTCCCTCTTCCTTGTTCAGCTGTAATCTTGTCTTCTCCTCTCCTTCTGTCAGCGGCCTCTTGTTTTTTTTCCCTCCTCTGCTGTTATTGGTGATTAAGATGAGAATTTTTGAGCCTTCTTTGTTGATGAACCTGTGCGAGCAGGGGTGGAGAGAGGGACCGGCAGACGGCTCCGTGACTTTTTAAATTTTTAGTAGTAAAACGTAAAAGTTATGTTTTTTTAACTCTCATAGATTGATACATTAGGTCATGAAATATAAGATAGAATTTTTATTTAAATTATATATGTAATTTTTTATATATTTACAAAGCAACTATATTTTAGTAGTTTCAAGATATGATTATTATAAGATTTATTTATTTTTAACAAAATAATATTATACATGCTTTTAAAATATTAGTGTCATTTTATTTTACTTTCATTTTATATTTAATAAAAAAATTATGAGAATTATTATTAACAAACTTTTTAAATATTATAAAAAAAAATTTAAAATATATTGAATGCTATGTGCTTGATATCTATTATGAAATTACTTATTTAAAAGTTAAAAAGTTTGATAAAGATGTTCTTCTAGAAAAACTTACTTTTTAAAATAATCAAGCTATTGAAATTTATGATATGAATGATTTTTATTCTGATATAATTTAATCTCATTGACATATATAAAAATTGAGCATTATTAATGTGTTAATATATTTATTTGCTACGATTATTAATTAAAAGAATTAAATAATAAATTCAATAAGCAAGTAATAGAGTTTATTATATTGAATAAAAATTTAGATTTCAATTATGTATTTAAATCATTTAATACTTATAAGGATAATAAAATTTTTACTAATTTAATGATAATTTATATTAAGAAGGAAATTACCAAAACATTTATTGTAGATATAATATCTAATAATTTTTATCTCATAAAAAATTGATGAGCAAAATTTAAAACATATAGACATACATATATGTATGTATGTATGTATATTGTTATATATGTATAAAATTGAATATAAATATAAATGTTAAAATATTTATATTATGTTGATGAGATATATATATATATATATATATATAAGTTTCTTTTAGTTATCATATATACTTCTTCATTTTGGCTCCCCTTAGTAAAAATTTTTGGTTCCGCCCCTGTTTGTGAGAGAGAGTGTGAGTTGATGATTGAAGTTGTAAAAATTACTCTCCTTTGTTGCTATTGTCCGTAAGTGTATATACTTGTTTATGAAGGGAAAACTTGATTTAAGTTGAAATTTATAATGATAAAAAGGAGATGATGGTGTGAATTTGAGTTTTAATTAAAAATGATTAGATTATTGATATTGTAAGGTTTTAGGGAAGTTGAAATTTAGGAGGAATAGGTTAATATTAGCTTAATAATTAATACCCGTTAGGTATTCAATAAAATGTGTGTTTGGAGACTTTTGCTTAATTTTGTATCTCTTAAAATTTCATTAAATTTCTTAAAAGACATATAATGATTTAGATGCTATAATTATCTTGTAAATTGAGTTTGGCATTGTATAAGAACTGATTATAAAGATTCTATTGTTAGTTGAATCATTCAGAGTTGTGCGGTTATTAAGAAATTGTTATGTAAGATATTTGAATGTTAAGAAGTTTTATTGTGAGATTTAGAAATAATGCACATTTGCAGTTTTCACAAAAAGTTTAGTAAAAGATTGTATTTTAATTAAGTATTGATCTATGGCTTTCGAAGGCTTTTTGTGTATAAAGTATTGATTTTAAAAGTTTAAATTTATTATATGTAGTTAAATTTTGGATAGCGGAAATGTTGGAAGGAAATTGTTGAAATTATTTAAATTGTATTTAAAAATCAAAATATAATTTATAAGTTGTTTGGAGGAGAAGAAATTTAATTGAAGTGAGAGATGAATTCTTGACTTTTGGAAGTATTTCATGTAAGTGAATAGTATCTCAATTAATTTTTTAATAAAATTATTTTTACCTAAATATTATATTTTTATGTAAATTATTTTAATAACAAAAATATGATTATTGGATATTTTATTAATTAAATTACTTTATTTTGTGAGGATTATCTTTGTCAGATTTGATAATTTTGTTAATCAATAATTGCAAGTTTGGATATTAATTATGAAATTTTATTTTGGTAAATACTGGATTGATACAGAAAATTTTATTTTAATAATGACTATTTTCTTGCATATTTGAAATTGAGTTTGAAAGAGACTTTATACAAAGTATCGGTTGCTAACAATAGTCCCATTAACCCTTGACTAGCTAGTTTGATTTTTTTGAGTTTTGTTCTCACATTTTTTATTTGTGAGTCTCGTTCTTGCATTTGTTTTCATGGTTTCGAGCTGCATTTGTTTAGTATTACTCTTATGGACTGTATGTTCATGTTTGTTTCGTAGCTCAAACCACATTTGATTACTTACTCTTATAGACTATATGTCTATATTTGTCTTCATTGCATAAGTCGCGTTTGGTTATTTATTCTCATGAACTGTGTGTTTACATTTGTTAATTATTCTAATATGTCCCGATAAATATATATTTGATTTTTTTTTTGGTGATTTTATATCCCATTAGTTTTTATTAGTAATTTATGTATAATTATTTATTTAATTTATTTGCTTTCTTGAAATCAAGTGATAATAATATTTGATATGATAAATAAATGGATCAAAATTTTATTTAAAGTTATATAGAACCCTTTATTTCAAAGTTTATTAAATAAATTATTTGAAAATTGTTATCTCTTTAGTTTGCATAATTATTTCAAACTTTTGTTCTATTCTTGTTAAATTATTTATTGCTAGGATGGTATTCACTAAAAAATTATTTTTTGTGTCAGATATCTTAACTGACACTAATCCTCCCACCAACTCTTGAGAGGCTTTTGGACTTGCTAGGTGGAGAGTTGGTTGAAATTTACTCCTTTTGATGTATTTATAAATACTTACATTTTTTTTTTGAAAGTATGGTTCAATACTTCACATACGCTATAGCCAAGATCCTTATTTTATATATATATATATATATATTTTTTGTTATTGACTGGAAGGAGCTAAGCTTTTGTTGATATGATATTTTGTGAAAAATATTATATTGTAAAATTTTGGAGAAATTCTATTTACAAAAAAGACTCTGTCGAAATGTTTACAAAATATTAAAACTTTTGTCATAACATATATCTTATTAAATATATCATAATTTCAATATAAACTCAAGCACGTATTTGATATGGAAACATTCCTCAATTAAAGTTTAAAAGATATGTAATATGGTTCATACACCATATGTAGGTTGTTCTCTATTTTTGAGGCATGACAATTATCTTAGCAACCATGACAATCCTCTTTTTTTCAATTCAAATATATATGATTAATCATTATTGATTTTTAGTGATCAATTTACACTACGTATATAGTTATTACTTTACTCATAAGCAAGTTAAATTTACCGATATTTCATATTTATTAATATCATATCAATTTCATAAATACTGGTCATCAAGATCATAATAAATAATTTTTAAATCTATTAATACTTCTCATGATATGAAATATTTAAACCATTAACCTTCAAGACTATATTATTTATAACCATCATATAACTAAATTGTCAATAAATCCCACAATGATCTCCAAAATCAAAAGTTATAAGGCTTCTAGTCATTTAATCTTGAGATAAATATAATATACCTTTGTCAATTATCTATTAACATATATTCAATACTTTTCCATTGGAGTTATAAATCATTATTAAATAATCAAAAGCATACTATAGATGAATAGATTTTGAACATGTGAATGATTTATAGATGAATAGATTTTGAACATGTAAATGATGAGATATGAAATATAACAACAATAGAAATTAATAAGAGAATCAAAATATCATACCTTTGTACGATAAATAAAAATCTTCAAGTACTTAATGAGGAAGATTTTAAGTCTATGTCTTATGCAAATTCATTAAAAGCTTTTACTAATAACATGTTATCAATAAAGATAATAGAAATGAGAAGAAAGAGAATGAGGAAGAGGAAGAGCACAAGCAATAGAATGAGGATGATTTATTATATTCATTTCATACTTACAATACAAATGAGATGCCATATATACAGGCAAACAATTACAACTCAAAGGCCTTATCAATTGATTGTGAAATAATCTATCATAAGGAAGGCCTCAATTCTAAATCGAAGATGAAGCTTAAGAATCTTATGAGTTACAATCTTTGAGTAATGTGGATAATATGAGAAGATAAATATTCATATAATTATGACATGAGGATATGGACATCCACACATAATATTTATATTTATATCAATATTAAATATTTATTACATAAATTAAAAAAATGGTCATTTTTAAAATTTAGAATAGATCGGCATTTAAGCTCAAAATAAATTATATTAAAATTAACAAGGTTAAAAATGCTTTTTAGCAAGCTTTATTTTTAATGAAATAAAATCAACATTATCCTCAAGGAAATTTTAATCATTCTTAATTAATTATGTTTAAACTCTTAAAATCAATGAATATTTTATATTTGAGCATTTCCCACATGTGAGAATAATTTATCCTTCTTTCTACTATGAGAATATTCTACCCTATAATCCATATATTTTTATATATAATATCAAAATATAAAAATTATAGGAACTTGCACTATTCAATAGTTATTAACATTGTATCCTATGTTTAATATGATTAGAAAATAATATGGATATGAAATACAATTTGAATTATAGCGAACAATGCTAAAATATGGTGCAGACTGCTAAGTGCATGCTAACAAAAAAAAAAAGGACATGAAAAAACAACTCCCTATTTTGATGACAAGACAATATAGGACAATGAGAGCTTTTTAATTGTCCTATTTGTTATTTCTAACCTTAATAAATATTTATTATAAATATTGTGCGTATGCTCTATTTTTTCATTAGAAATTAGAAATTGACAAGAAAAGCTTTTTTATATAAAGTAAGTAAAACTAAAGCCCATAATTTAGACTAAATTTGAATAAACATGAAAAAATTTGTGGCCAAACTTAATAAAATTTAGGGTTCAGATTTGGCCCAAATATCTTAATACAAAAAGTTTTATTTTTAAAAATATAGTAAATATTAATGAATTCTTTACAAGTGACCGATTATATATACAAATAATTGTTTTGATATGAACAATAATATATCCATGAATAACCAAAGCTAATGAAAATACTTGAAAAATAAATTTATGACATA